ACCATTTGTTGCCAAATCACGTTGTTCCAGTCTCTTTTTCAGTTGTGAAATCTTTAGATTCTTCTGACACCAATTGTAAGGGATTTCTCGATAAATCGTCTACTTTGTAACTCACTCTTGAGTTCGATCACTGGATTGTTAAATAAAAGTGCCAATTTAATGTTATACACTTATCTTTATTTCTAATTCCAACAACTTAACACTCGCTCGCTATTCGAGTTTACAACTTATTGCTCTTTACATGGCAACACTCTAATTATAACTGTACCTGCTGCAAAATCCGGCAGCCCTTATATAGAAAATCTTTAACAAAAGTTCGCTACTACAACCAGAGAACGTATATCATAGAGAAGGTTCATGGTGTGCCGATTGTCAAAATGTTCCTCTTGACGGAGGGTTACTCGCCAACATTAGTGCATTTCACCACAAGCAAATTATAAGCTGATTTCACCAGAATTTTACCCCTGCGGAGCGCAAAATAGCAGAATTGAGCATTTTGAATGTTAAATGAGAAAAAAAATGCTAAATTCAATGTTAAGAAATGTACGCTTACAAATTCGTATATTTACAATGCGCAAACGACTTTGCATATAATTTTAAGATATTCTGCATATACAGGGCGGCTCACGAATCGTGCTACAAAAATTAACCAAATATTAAGTTTCTTTTTATCAATTTTTGTTGTATTGTATAGAAAATTTTAATTTTATTTTATACAATTAATTATTCCTCCATGCTTGGCCACGCATATGCGACACCTAATTAGCAAATTAATGCGGGCTGGAGGGTTCAAGTCGGGATTGCCTCAAATATCTATTTAATGGACTGCTTCAGTTCAGTCAGATTTCTGGGTTTGATTTTGTACTCCTCTTGCTTGACATAACCCCATAAGAAAAGACCAAGCGGTCGCAAATATTCTTATACAATATATGTAAGTATATGTATAATTATGTGTGCATGTAAACAAATATGAAAGTACCCATTATAATTGTTAATTTGTCTTATGCAACGTATGTGTGTAAATATGTACATTCATTGTTTCATGGGAAACTCCGTTGCCACGGACATCCAATGGCCGAAGCTCACGTTTTGTTTTCTTGTCAAAGAGTCACTGTGTCGAAGGACTGACGCGACGACAAAGCGTACAACATTGTGTTGTTGGTAGAAAATCCGAGCTGTGCCGAAAAATATTAACGAACGGCCGCCGATTGTCACCGCTTCCCTTGCCGCTCTAACAGCTTTGCCCACAAATCATCGTAAATATGTATGTTTATATATGAGCATGCATACATATTGACGCAGATTTTATGACACGGAAAATATTTTAAAATTGTAAATTTAAATTGTAAATATTTTAAATCGACAAAAGCTTTGTTGCCAGTTTTGTCAATTTTTCTGTGTTTTGTGGGCGTGCGTGGTTGCAACTTTTCCTTCCAGAGGAATATCAGAAATTTGTTCAATTTATGATTTTTAGCTTTTGCCATCGTCGTGAAAGACGCTTGTAGACAAAAGCATGCTCGGGAGATGTAGGGTATCTGTTTTATGAATGAAGAGGTTGCTTGTTAAAAGTACGCCTGCGTTCATGAATGAAAATGTTGTTGTTGAATATTTTACTATAAACTTGTGACGATTGTTGTTTTGTAGAACAATGTTTGTAGTTTTTCCGGGTGACATATTAACATGTGTACGCATATACATATGTATGTATGTTGGTTTGTGTATGCATTATTTGTTCGGCAATTTTATGTATAAATACATATATGCGTGTACATATAAATCAATGCGCGCACATATAGTGTATTGATAAGTGATAAAATCATGATTTGAATTTCTGAATGCGTACATTCAAATACATCATACTACACATATGACTATATAAGATTAATTTGTAATAAATTTAATCTCTATTATTATAATATAATATAAACTATTAAGTATGAATGTATATTAGGTAAAAACTAAATAAAATTATTAAATGCCCAAATTGACTATACATATTATTTCGAAATTCCATAATTTAATAGATCTTATCAGTTTTGCATGCATTCATAAAAATTCGCAAAATGATATTCATATCAATAAATATGATTGCATATAAACGTATAAGAATATAAGCCAAAAGGCTAACATGCAGCTGTAATATCAAAGCAAGTCTCTGAGAATAATTTTCATTGAATTCTCAGCTCTGTTGACTCTCTACTGTTAAAATTTCTCCTTCCGAGCCAGATTTGGTGAAATTCACTAATAAAATCTTGTTAGGTTTTGACAATTCACACGCTGGTCCGCAATTGAACCTTCTCTATGATATACGTTCTCTGCTACAACATTCTGGCAACCTCGAATTCGCTGTCTAGAATTGACGATAAACTGCCAGAAGCAACTAGACAGCGAATTCGAGGTTGCCAGAATGTTCTAGTAGCGAACTTTCGTTAAAAATTTACTATGTAAGGGCTGACGGATTGTGCAGCAGACACAGTTCTAATTAGAGTGTTGCCGTGTAAAGAGCAATTAAGCTATAAGCAGTAAGTTGTAAGTTCGAATAGCGAGCAATAAGTGTTAAGCTGTTGAAATTGGAAATTAAGATAAGTGTATAGCATTAAATCGGGACTTTAATTTAACAATCCAGTGATCGAGCTCAAGAGTGAGTTATAGTTAGACGATTTATCGAGAAATCCGTTACAATTGATGTCAGAAGTGGGATTGTCAAGAAATTTCCCAAGGAGATAATTATTTGAAAATGGCCAAGTTTAACGATCTGAAGATTCCACAACTGAAAAAGGAGCTGGAGCAACGTGGTTTGGCGACAAATGGATTAAAAACTGAATTACAATCACGGTTAAGAGAGGCCATGGAAGCGGAAAACATTAGTGTTGAGGAATATGTCTTTCACATGGAAAGATTGTTGACATAAACATGATTTTTGCTGCAATATCGCAGATGGGGAAAGAAATATCGACACAATTTAAAGAGCAGGATACACGTATGTCTCAAATGTCAACACAATTTAAAGAGCAGGATACACGATTGTCAACGCATTTGGAAGAGCAGTTCGTAGCGCAAGATGCACGTATATCAGCACAGGTATCCTTACACTTAAAAGAGCCGTTCGCAGCGCAAGATGCATGTATATCAGCACAGGTGTCCTCACAGTTGAAAGAGCAGGATGCACAAATATCGCAAGTGTTTTCACAGATTCACAGGATAAAATTAAAACTGAAGTGGATGAATTGAGAAATCGTCTCCGTGAGCTACAATTAAATCGGCCAATTATGTCGTCAGCTTCTGCCAAGGTAAAACCTCCATCCTTTGATGGCACTGTTCCGTTCCACGTTTTTAAGCTTCAATTCGAAAAGACGGCATCTTCAGATAATTGGAACGCTGAAGATAAAGTAGCTGCATTGTTCGTTGCATTAAAAGGATCTGCAGCGGAGATATTACAGACCATTCCAAACTGCGAGGCGAGTACTTATGAAACGTTGATGGGTGCATTAGAAAGACGGTATGGTAGTGAGCACAGGAAGCAGATCTTTCAAATGGAGTTGCGAAATCGCCGCCAGAAGGCCAATGAGTCGTTGCAGGAGTTTGCTACAGGAATTGAGAGGTTAGCTCACTTAGCTTATGCACATAAATCCATGGAATCGAGGACACGAAAATTCAGACTTTCGTCAATGGAATACGAGATAACACTATACGCTTCGCTGCATTAGTATTTCCAAAATAACGTTTGCAGAAACAGTTTCGTATGCTCTGACACAGGAAACTGCATCTCTGCTTTTCAATCAAACATTTAAAGCTCACAAAGTGGAAATAGAGGAACACACTTGGGTGAATAAATTACTTGAAAAAATTGACAACATGCAGAAAGCACTGGAAAAATCTACGGAAGCGGATAAGAAAAATTATGGTGTGCTTAAATGCTTCAACTGCGGGAAAAGTGGCCATATTGCACGCAATTGTAACAAGCCCAATAATCCAGTTGGACGGAAACGAAAAGCTGAGGCCAAAGAAGACATTATAGATGTCCGATTAATGACTATAACATCAGACTGGGATCCAGAGAAGCTACGGAAATGTCAGCAAGAGGATCCAGATTTGAAAAGTGTAATACATGGATTGGAGATGAATAAACGTCCAACGAGAGAAGAAATAGCTACAGAAAGCCCAGTCGCAAAGGCTTATTGGATACAATGGAATAGTTTTAAGTTAGTGTCTGGCTGCTTGCATCGCGTATGGGAAAGCGAAGATGGACAAAGTTCACGAGCTCTGATGATTGTTCCAAAAGTAAGAATTCCTGAAGTTCTCAACGAGCTGCACAACGGTCCAAGTGGAGGACACAAGGGTGTCACTAAAATCTTTGAGAAATTAAAACAAACATTTTATTGGGTTGGTTGTCGTCAATCAGTTACGGAGTGGATCGCCAATTGTGTCGAGTGCATTGCTGCTTAAGGGCCGCGGTCCAGGAGTCATGGTCAGATGAAGCAGTACAATTCAGGTGCGCCGTTTGAGCGAGTAGCCATGAATGTAGCTGGTCCATTTCCTATCAGTAAATTAGGAAATAGATATGTTTTGGTAGTCATGGACTATTTCAGCAAATGGCCAGAGGTATACGCAATTCCTAACCAAGAGGCAGGAACAGTAGCGGATGTATTCATCAACAATTGGGTATCGAGATATGGTGTTCCAATAGAATTACATTCTGACAAAGGGAGAAATTTTGAATCAGCTCTAATACAGGAGATATGCCAGAAGCTGGGTATCCGGAAACCTAGCTTATTTGTATACACGTGCTTAGAATATTCACTTGTATATTTTGACTTGTTAGACCGATATAAATAATTTTTAAACAAAAAATTACGGGATTTAAATTCTTGAACGTAGTTACTACCACAATTATTTTTCTTAAATTAAATAAAAATCAGAACTATTGCCACTTTATATCCTACCGAACTAAGAGTTTCAAAAGGAATGTTTTCTAAAAGTAACAACGTTTTTAACAATACTGAATTTACATTAATATTTTTATTAGTAGAGGCAAAGTTTCAAGTTTACAAGTTAAGCAAAAAAATATCAGTACATTGTATATAAACGAACTAGAATCCTAAAATCCTTTACATTTACGAAAATGATCATGTCATCCTTGATGTTGCTTCGTTCACAAATAACAGAGAAATAAAGTATGATTGCATGTTCGACCGTTTAAACGAAAACCAGTTTTTTTTGCATCCAAAAATGACCGTGTAAAGGCCGCTAAAGAGTTCGGATCATTTTATCCATGGTTAGAGTGTTGCCGTGTTGCATAGATAAAAGATTCGAACTCTTTGATTCAAGAGAGCGCTGTCAAAATCCACATTTTTGATAGCATTCGACAGTGGTGCCACTAAGGAAGACAATAAGTTTTGAGGTTTTTTAATGTATTTCTTGGGTATTTTTCGGTTATTATATAACAGAAAAATATACATAATTAATATTAGTTTTAACAAACTAGATATCCTATATGCGGTCTAAATATATGTACATGTTTATTTTAATCACAAATGATTTTCAAAGTTAACTTTATAATATTTTAATATATCAAAACACTTAATTAGTTTTAAATAACCTAAACAAGAACATTACTTATATTTTATATACTCAATAAACAAATATCTTTTGATAATTTATTCGGAAGTCAAAGTTTACATAACATTTGCTGGGAATTCTAATCAAATATGTACATACGTTGACAATTGGTACTGCTAAGCAAAATAATATTCTGCGACAAAATACATCTTTCTTAAAATCAAAACTATATTAAATCTCTTTAAATAAATATTAGAAACACACGTTAAAGTCACTAAAATATCTGATCTCGCAAAAACCCACTAATTTCGCAATATATTTCTGCGGGATTCTTCGTGGTAGTTAATTGTTTTGCTTGTCATCTGTGCAGTAGCTCATGAACTCGTGGTTTACTTCGCAGCACTGAAAGTTCATGAGCTCTCTCAGAAGGCAAAGAGAGGAATTTCGGATAATTTTATCTATGGTAAAATGTGTATTAGTGAAAATCTTAGGATTGGTTACTTGTAGATTTATACAATGATTAGATATAAAGATAAGTGTATAGCCATTAAATTGGGACTTTTATTTGAGTAACAAGATAGACTATTTATCGAGAAATCAGTTACATTATTTCAACCCATTTATAATAGAGCTGGCAACCTTTACGGCTGTTTTTCAGAATCATGCAATTGTAGTAATTTGTATTAAGAATTAAAAAAGTTATGAGTATCGGATTAAAGTTTGTTGCCAATTTGCGATATGAAATTTCAAAGTATTTCGTTCGAAGCACGTGCAAAATTGCTGTGGAGGTAGAACCGAGTCTTATTGAAAAATTAGAGAATGCAGAGATAAAAGCGAGGCATCATCCTGGTAGAGCAAAAATTGGGAAAATTGAGTTACCCTTAAACCTCCGCCATGCTTTGGAACGTGTCACCGGAGATTACCCGATAAAAACCTTGTTGAAAGATTGCAAACAGCTAGATCAATATATAGGTTCCCGACATCCTCCGATTGAACAGGAAGAATTAAATGGGAAAATGAAGTCCATTACGAAAGAAGTTGATAATCGGATGCCGCCGGGGAAGTTGTCTTCACTAGGAGAAGAAAGCGCTGTTAATTGGTGGAGGATACGGGAAAAGTTAATAAAGCGCTTAATGGCACAACGAAACTATTCTTGGAAGCCGATTGAATATGGTACATATGAATCTTTGGTTTACGCAATTGGCCGCGGTGCAAAGGAGTATAGTGTATTAACGAGTATATTAAATGAATTACGAGTGCGTGATCAATCGTTCCAGCCTAGAAGTTACTTTGATTTTGGTTCGGGAGTGGGCACTGGTATGTGGGCGGCTAGTAATTTGTGGAAAGATACCATATTTGAGTATTACAATGTTGATAGTTCCCGCCATATGAATGACCTGTCGGAATTAATATTACGTGAAGGTAATGAAAATGAACAAATATTACTGCGCAATGTTTACTACAGACAGTTCCTACCTGCCATAGAGGTACTGATATTATATTTTTACTATTATAAGCACATTTATTATAATTTTTCATACAAAGTTTAGACGTTGTATGATTTGGTAGTATTATCATACACTCTTTTTGAGCTGCCGAACATAGAAAGTCGCAGAGATGTGTTACTGAACTTGTGGAAGAAATGCAGTGGTTACATGGTCATTATCGAAGAAGGTACTAGACGTGGAAGTGAGTTAGTTAACGAAGCTCGCGATTTTATTTTAAACCTTAATAGCGAGGAATTAAAAGGCGAAGTTTTTGCACCGGTAAAATGTGTCCTTTTTTGTATAAAAATTTTCATTACTATTGAATATATTTTTATGTAATTTTATAGTGTTCCCACAACTTAACATGTCCTCGGCTTTCTAATAATGGTGATAGAACGCCTTGTAATTTTGAAGTTCGTTATGTGCCTTTGCATTTGGGAGGTGTAAAAAATAATAGTCTGACTACTCGTTATTCTTACGTTGTTTTGAAGAAAGGCAAGATATCAGATGCGACTCGCAAGTGGCCAAGGTTAGTACGACCGACGTTATTGCGCTCAAAACACATAATATGTAGGATGTGTACAGAAGATGCGAAATTGCAGGAAGTAATATTTACACATTCTAAACATGGAAGGTAATACTGATTAATTATGCACATTTAAAATGCTTGCCTGATATTTTTAAAACATTATCTTAAAGACATGCCTATCGATGTGCCAAGGCGAGTGATTGGGGTGACAGGTTACCAATTAAATTGGGCGATCAATTACCAACAATAAGAAAAACAGTAAATAGTAATGACGAATGAATAAATTATAAAAATCATACATGTTTAAGAGAAAGAAAACAAAAAAAAAATAGAAAATTGAGACTTTAATCTTTGTTTTTAATCGTGCCATAAATGCATACGGCGAACGAAGTTCCAATAGCCTTTATATTGCATATATGGGCAAATATGTGAGAAAGCGTGTTTTTCTAATAATAGTGCATCTTTGTGGCTAAAATGGATAAAATCGAGTGAAAAATTGATAAAATCGGTAACTAATATCATCATTTTCAAACATCTAGTTGACTTTACTCCTTATATAAGGTTGGAAGGTATCTCCCTTCCGCTTTTTTTCTCTTCATTCAATGCTTTATAAAAAGTGTTACAGTGATCGGATTTAGTTAAAATATGCGCCGTTTTGTTCGATGATCTGTTTCCATCTAGACGGCAACTTCATAATACCTTCCTCGTAGAAGTCCCCCTCCTTATTTGCGAAGAATTCGGACAGCCACTTTTCACAAGCCTCTTTTGAGTTCAACTTCACACCACCAAGGGCATTCGCCATGGACAGGAACAGGTGGTAATCACTTGGCGCTACGTCCGGGCTATATGGTGGATGCGATAAAACCTCCCATCCGAGCTCCCGTAGCTTCTGACGAGTCATCAACGAAGTGTGTGGTCTGGCGTTGTCCTGGTGGAACACTACACCCTTCCTGTTGGCCAATTCTGGACGCTTCTGGTCGATCGCCTGCTTCAAGCGATCCAGTTGTTCGCAGTAGATGGTAGAATTAAGCGTCTGGCCATATGGGAGCAGCTCATAGTGGATGATTCCCTTCCAATCCCACCAAACACACAGCAAAACCTTCCTGGCCGTCAATCCCGGCTTGGCCACTGTTTGGGACGATTCACCGGCCTTCGACCACGACCGTTTTCGCTTGATATTGTCGTATGTGATCCATTTTTCGTCGCCAGTCACCATCCGCTTCAAGAATGGGACGAGTTCGTTCCGTTTCAGCAGCATATCGCAGGCGTTGATTCGGTCCAGAAGGTTTTTTTGCGTCAAATTATGCGGCACCCAAACCTCAAACTTTTCTTTGTATCCAGCCTTCTGCAGATGGTTCAAAATGGTTTGGTGACTAACTCCCATCTCCTGGGCGATGTTACGAGATGCCATATGCCGGTATAACTGGATGTATTCCATGATTTGATCGGTATTTGTCGTCACAGGTCTTCCGCCGGCTGGCTTATCCATGGTGTCGTTTTCACCGGCTCTGAATCGTCGAAACCATTCCTCCGCGGTTCGAAGTGATAGAGTACCATCCCCCAAAACACCATTAATCTCACGGAACGTTTCTCTAACGGATTTGCCTTTAACTAAGGAAAACTTTAAAATAGCGCGAATTTCGGCGTTAGTGAACTCCATGTTTACACGTCTATAACTGTTGAACGCAATATCCAAACTAATCATGCATAGCGTTGTTTTGTAGGTTATGTCAAGACCTTTCAAATTATGTATAGTGTTGCCAGATACGAGCTCTGTAGCGCTTTGTACATAGCCGCGAAATTCAAGAGACAAAAAAGCGGAAGGGAGATACCTTCCAACCTTATATATGGGTGATGGTATGTGGGGTACATAACGAAACTCACAATTCCCACAACAGCCGGTTCTACGTTACCGGAATTGATCCGGATATCATCCGGCCAAGGGCTGTTATTTCGGCGATCTAACCCTGTTTGGATCGGTAAGTGTTAGTCTAAGTCTGTCGTCACTAGAGCAACACCTTGCAGCAGGGTTGCTCCGTATCGTCTTGACCCGTGCTGAAATCGAGTCCAACCCGGGCCCCGAGAAACTCTTTTGCTGCGTATGCGCTAAAAGGCTCCATCCAAACTCCACCTCGGTTAGGTGCAATACATGCAATGGATGGAGCCATCTTAAGACCTGCTCAGGCATTAAGACCCATAGGGAGTGGACCACGAGCTATGTGGCCCCATGCTGCCAACGCAATACTGCGACACCAGCCTTAACGGCTGTGCAATATGCACCAGGTTCGCGCACTGCGCCGCCACTACAACCGAGTGGCCAAGAAAGGACCTCTACGGCCCTAAGGAGCTCTTGGCAGCATGACTCCCAATCAACCCCCCCTCTACCTTCATTCTGCTCCAATCCCCGTGCGAGAATCACTCAGCAACTCCTGGTTCCTCGCACAGTCTGTCCCGTGTGTCAGTCCGTAATACACCGGAACGTCACATCAGTCAAGTGCAATTCTTGCACTGGCTGGTGTCACTTTCTGTCGTGTTCTGGACTGCGCACCACACGTTAGTGGAGTGCGTCATATGTTGCCCCATGCTGTAGGAGTCTGCCCTCGCAATCTCATCAAGTGGCGTCGCCACACAACACCTCAGTGCGACAACCGCCCATGCGGGTATTACAGCTGCAACAACCACCACCTACACGTACCTCCCTCACCCCCAGGATCACGACTGGACACCCGCGACAAACCCGAATCCTACAATTTAACTGCAACGGACTACTGAGCAAGATCGAGGAGATAGTTGCATATATGAGCCGGGAACGTATATCGATAGCTGCGGTCCAAGAAACCAAGCTAAACAGCCGCTCAGATCTTCTGAGTTGTGCAGGTTTCAACGTTTTGCGTAAGGATCGCGAGCGAGATAATGGTGGAGGACTAGCCTTCATATTGCACAACACCGTGCAATATCGTTTAATCGATGGTGACATCGACCGCAGGGACACTATCCTTGAATGCCAGGGTATAGCTGTCCGGTCAGGCGATGTCGAGCTCGATATATTTAACATATACATCCCTCCAGTTACATGTTGCCCAACAGGATATCACCCGAACATAGGTGCGCTGCTTCGTGGTGAAAACGGTTTGGTGCTAGGCGACTTTAACGCGCACCACGATCTTTGGCATTCCTGTCAAACGATCGTAGGGGGATGGAGCTGGCGGAATAGATTGTCGATTCGACATTCTGCGCAATAAATGATGAAGCCCCACTAGAATTATGGGCACCTGTAATAGCTCGCCCGATATTACCATCGCTAGCGGTGGTCTGATAAATAGCATAACCTGGCGACCTATGCTAACTCTTGCATCAGACCATCTGCCCATAATTATCTCGATCGAGAAACCTCCCGACTTTATTCCTGTGCACCTTCATTAACTTTAACAAAGCTAACTGGGTCGGCTTCACAGAATTTACAGAGAGCACCTTCAATGCACTACCCATTCCTACGGACGTCATCGTTGGCGAGCGTCAATTCCCCAAGGTGATCGCTACTGCTACCGCTCGCTTCATACCAAATTTCCCAGCCGAAGCAGCTGTATTAGCAAACGAGAGCGACACCTTACGCCATGCCGATCCCTGTGATCGCCGAATAAGGGATCTCAATTTGGAGATTCGGCAAATAGTAAACCAACATAAGCGGGCAAAATGGGTGGAGCACCTGAAGTCCTGTAATCTCTCCACCGGTGTGAGTAAGCTTTGGAATACTGTGAAGGCCTTGTCTAATCCGAGGAGACATGACGACCGGGTTGAAATTCAATTAGATGGCCATGCCTCCTCGGACCCAAAGAAGTGCGCGAGCTATTTTAGCCGGCAGTTTACACTGCACCCTTCGACCGACAAGGCCAAACGATGTGTTACCCGACGGCTGCGCAAAATGCCAAAAGACTGCGCACCACTTACTTTCACTAATGAGGAGGTTCAGAGTGTCATCAAAAAGGCGAAATCGTCTAAATCCATCGGCCCTGACGGAATAAGCATGGTGATGCTAAAACATCTAGGCTCAACGGGAGTAATATATCTTACCAAGGTCCTCAAATTGTCGATGTCCACTCTTCAAATACCCGATGTGTGGAAAGTCGGAAGAGTGGTCCCACTACTGAAACCTGGGAAACCCGCCAACAAAGGGAAGTCTTATCGCCCGATAACTCTCCTTTCCCCAGTAGTGAAGACACTTGAGGCCTTGTTACTCCCGTCATTTACTCACCACCTAAGTCTAGCAGACCATCAGCATGGCTTCCGAAAAGTGCACAGCACTACCACAGCACTTAGCGTAGATAGTTCATGGCCTGAACCAGAAGCCACCCAGCGAGAGGACGATCCTCGTAGCGTTGGACTTGTCAAAAGCTTTTGACACAGTCAATCACACAACGCTACTTGAGCACCTAGAACATTCAACGCTCCCTCCAGGGCTGAAGCGGTGGACCATGAACTACCTGAGTGGTCGGCATTCATCCGTACTGTTTCGAGGTCAAAACTCCAAACAGAGAATAATTAAACAGGAGGTTCCGCAGGGTGATGTCCTCTCCCCACTACTGTTTAACTTCTACATCTCGAAACTCCCCCAACCACCAGAGGGAATTTCCGTGACCTCGTACGCTGATGACTGCACGATATTGACGTCGGGCAATGGAATCGATGGCATGTGCTCTAAAGTAAACGGCTATCTCTTCGACCTTTTTCGCTTCTTCTCTGCAAGGAGCCTGACACTCTTCCCTACTAAATCCACAGCGACCATTTTTACAAACTGGACGAAGTAGTACAGACTGAATCTAAACATTTCAGTCGAAGGCATTAAAATTCCGACGATCATTTTGACATGTCATAACACTATGTACTGTCACGGGGTGTCTCTGATGTCCAAAATAGAACACCTGCATAGTGAGGCCCTTATGTTTCGGTTAAGGAACATAATGAGCTTCTCTTCAAGCAATTTCTGCTGAGCTGTTTTCGTAGAAACCACCCGAAGCAGAACCGCCTCCTAGGAACATCAAGAGGTCCTTCCTTGAATATGTCGACGACATTAGACAGTACGCCGACCGGACTTCGAACGCAACGAACTTCAGACAGGCACTGACCGCCGACTCCTTCTCAGTGAATGGCGTACTACGAGTCAAACCACCACCCATAGCGGACGTAGAGCTCGAGTTGCCACGCGAAACCAGAGTGACCCTCGTGAAACTTCGTTCTGGATATTGTAGCAGGTTAAACTCCTACTTATCCAGAATAGACCCCGACATTCTAAATACATGTCCTGCGTGCAATGAGTCTCCGCATGACACTAACCACCTCTTT